TTACAAAGCCTGGCAGGGAAAAGCTGAGGAGCTCAGGCCATGTTTTCTAGCCAATAAAACTTTGTCTCACCAAAATCTCATCTTATTACCTCAGTCCCTTTAATTACTCCCTCGGACATTCAGGTGGGGTGTCCTGCTGCCTTCCACCCCCGAGGGTGACCCAAAGCCAAGAAGAGAAAACGAAATTAATCAGGCTCAGGTGCCTGACCAAAGCCACTTCACCTGGGTGAGGGCTGCCAGAGGTTTAAAAATAAACAATTAAATGTCATCGATGTTCTCCCAGCTGTGTCCGTGTGGATTCCACTAATCTTTGAGGAGGCATGCCACAAGTAAACCACACCTCCTGAAGCTGCATTATCAGCCCCCCACACATCCACAGTTACACACAACCCACCCGGTGACACCACAGAAGAAACATGCATCCTGAGGACTGGGGGGAAATGCCTGGATTTTGGCAAATCTGCACGTGAACGTGGCTGTGAGGTTTTCCTGCCCTCCTCCTCACCCCCCAAAACACGCTGGCTGCTGAGCAAGCACAAAGCCTTTGCCAAAGAGCCCCTGCTCAGCTCACAGGGGGTTTTTTTGGTTAGTCTGGTCGCTGTTTTGGGGTGGGATCTTTGTTTGTTCGTTTGGGGGTTCCACTGATTTCTGCCTTTGTTTCCCAGCTGCTGCCTCAGGTGACAGGCCAGGCTGCAAATTCACTTTTCCCTGCTGCAGGGGAGAAGCAGGCAGCAGGAGACAGCGGGAGGGAAGCTCATGTGGGATGGCTGGGGATGTGCCCACAGCTCTGACAGAGCCTGGGGGGCTCAGGGACAACCTGGGAAGGGACCCAGAGCAGGGACCCCACAGCTGCTCCACGCAGGAACCACTCAGAGACCCTGCCACACACAAGATCTTACAGAAACACCAACCCCAAGAGCACTGAAACCCATCTTTTTATTAATTAACTCTTTCTGCTGAAGGTAATCCATTTAAAAAAAAAAAAAAAAAAAAACAAAGCCCAAAAGTTTGGAGAAAACAAAAGCACAGCACATCGTTTTTACTCCTTCTCAGGTGATGAGGAGAAAAACTCATCTATTATTTTTTAATTTCCCCTAAAAATTTCTAAAGCTTGGCGGTCTCTGGCCTACCTTCCACTGGAACACCACAGGGAATCCCCTGCCCACCTGCAAGCAGTAAGATTTATGGACAATACTAATCCTGAAGGTGCCAAAAAAAACCCCAACACTCCTCAGCCATCTACAGCATTAAACATGCACAGGGTGCTGAGCAACTCAGCCCAAAAAAAAAAAAAAATACTGAGTAACTTTTAATTAATTTAATCTTCATTAAAAAATGCCCTTTAAGTCCTGTTGCTTGGTTAAATATATGTTAAAGTAGCTGAAGGTACAGCAAAGCTGCTGGTGGCATGTGCCAAGCAAAAAAGTGTAAAACAGAGAGGATCCACAAAATCACTGTGTCCTCTACAAAACCAGAGCTGCAGCAGGCAGAAAAAAAATTCAAATGATTGGATTCTGTTAATCTGTGGGGACACGGACCTAATACTGCATTTAATTTTGCTAAGTGGGAGGAAGATTATTGCAGGCAAGATACAAAGAATATCTCTGCTCCAGTCATGTCACATTGGCAACCTTAAATACTCCGAGACAGTTATTAATAACAGTATCAGAACATTTCCACGTATTCAATGCACAGTTATGAAAGAAACTAAACACACAGGCCTCCTCCCAGCGCGGACAATAATAATAATGTTAATATTTACATTCCTCTAATCACTTGTTTCCAGTAGTATTTTAAAAAGTATCTGTGAACTTGCTGGGTAACAAGTGCCAGCCTTCTGTGAGGCTCTGCAAAAAGCATGATTTGGGGCATTTTGCTCTACTTTTGGAGGAGAATAACCCCTCACTGGGACAGAGTTCCATTCCAGAGTTTCTGAAAGAAAAGCAGAAATGTGTTCCCATCCAGGCTCCCAGTGCCACAGTGAAGAACTTGTTGGGAGCTGCACTTGTTTACAGCCCTCAATTCCCCTGGGAAGAAGCAGCCAAACTGAAATCAGAACCTATCTGCACGTGGTATTTACATGTCCCAATTTGCAGGTTTGAAGCTCAGCCTCTTCCACACGGTTATTCTTTCAATGAGTCTTTGTCTTCTTTTTTTTTTTTTTTTTTTTTTTTTTTGCCTGAGGTGTGAACTCAGAGTGTACAGCAACACCTGCTTGGTGTTTACGAAAACTCCTCTAAAATCTGGGGGGGGGAATCAAAACATTTTTCTCTAAAAGCAAGAATTCCCTCTGCAGATCATTCCGTATATGCAGCATGCTCAATTTGACCACACATTTCCAGAATATCAGCAGTTGATTCACCCTTCGTGCAGTCGTTACCAAGACAGGTTCTGCACTTTTAACACATTTTTCCTTTGAAGCAAATATCCCTCTGAAGGAAAAAACATACCAGTGTGCCAGTGGAAAAGGCAAAATGAGCACGTTCTGGCATGGCAATTGTTTCCCAAGCCCCTCATGCTGCAGTATCAGAGCAAATTTCAGGAAGGCATTTGGCATCTCCCTCTGGATGGTGGCTCCTGTCACACCCAGCAGGGTGGAACGTGTCACTGCCCAGCACCTGGGCTGGCTGCGACATGGACACCACACCTGGACACACCTGGTGGCCAAAATTCAGTGTCCTGGGCAGGGCAGCACAGCCCAGTACCCGTCCCACTCAGCTCTGGCAATTTTACAGACTTCCAGCTGGCACATGGCCTGACAGGCAGTGCCCAAGCAACTGGAAACCAGCACTGAAAGGACCTGCAAAAATCTTATCTGTCCTACAAGCATTTTCCATCATCTTTATTATTATTTAACTTGGACAAAATGCATTGCTTTTTCAAATATCCACTCAAGGCATGCTGGAGAAGGTCTCTCATGTGACTAATTCCTCTTTCTCTCCCTCATTTGTGTAATTCTGCAGCACATATCACTCTAATGTCTAAGTTACTCAGGTAAATAAACCCCAAAATAAAGCAGGTAACTTTTGTCCTTCCTTTGGAGAGATCTGATTCTTCAAAATCTGCCATAGAGCATCTCTTCTTCTTTTTTTTTTTTTCATTCCATTAATACATTTGTGTGGTGAAATCAAAGCAAATTAAATCTATGCAGTATTTTTTCACTGCCAGAAGTTAGCATGTGCAATATCGACTTTTCATTATCATCTGATTAAAGTTTGCCTGCCTCTGTTAATAAAGTGAAGGCTCGTGGCTTATTGCTTTGCACCTTTAAGAATGTGAGCACATTTTCTAAATGAAAGACACTGCTTCATTTTCAAATATTTTCCTTTTTTTTTTTTCCTTGCCATGGATCAGTTTTAGTCACTGAGGGAATTTCCTGTAGACCTTAGCAAAGATTTGTGTCTATGTGTGTACACAAACAAGGGTGCACGTCAATGATTACACACCTGTAAAAGCTACTAACACTCAAAAGCTTTGAATAAAGCTTGGGATCAAGGAGAAGGTGAACAGAAAAGGATATTTCCTGATGATCTCTCCTGAAAATTCAAACTAGCATCCCATAAAAAAAAAAAAAAACAAAAAAATCAAAAAACAAAAACAAAAACAAAAAAACCCAAACAAACAAAGAATTCTTCTAACTCTGTAATAGCAGTCTGCTATTCTTGAAAGCACCAACATAGTTGATGTCTGAAGCAATAAAAGCTCAGCTTCCTGCCCTGTAATTATTACTAGATGTAATTATGAACAACTCATTCATCACTATAAAAGCACAACTTCGGGCTCCCAGAGAAGAGGCACGGAAGGGATTTGTTTTCAGGCAGTTCCCTCAGCCGAGCTGTGATTTAACAACACCGCCGATAAACAAGTGTAGTAAGCCAATGTAAAGAAGGCAGGGCAACATCCGTGTTTAACATCATCTGGGGATCCTCCAGTGCAGCTCTGTGAAAATACGCCTCAAAGCAACGAGCAGGAGCTGGAGGGTGAATATGACACTGCTAGAGCCACCCCAGCTCCCCGAAGTTTGCTCGCTCAACCACGAGACACCAGAGGCTGCCGAAGCACACCAGGATTATTTATGGGTGGGGGGAAAGAATAAATGTGGGAGAGGCTCTGAGCTGCCCTGGCAAAGTTACCTCTGCAGGACAGCTCGGAGATGTGCGGGGCTTGAGGGCACGGCTGTGCTCGGCTTTGTCACTTTGGTCACAAGCGGGAGGAAACACCTGCAGCCGCCCAAACTTCCCCAAAGCCCCTCCCGAGCAGGGGGACAGGCAGCAGGGCACGCCAGCACCGGCTTGGAACACGCTTCAGACCAGACCAAGAGCGGAGATGAGGCAGCAGGAGGGGGTGAGACACCCGATCTGCCTCCACGCCGAGCAGCCACGGCGCCCCTTGCTCGGGGTTATGTAATACATATTAGTATTTAGCTGCTCTGACACACGCATGGCACTCAGATCAGCTTCGGGCAGGCTCAGCCGGGCCGCCAGGGACACGGCAGGAATTTGGCAGCTCAGGGGGCAGGAATGCCAGCCGAGCCCTCCGCGCTCCTTCCCCCCGGCACCACGGGCACCTCGGGCACGGGGCCCGGCCACACCGGGGGATGTCGCAGCCTGCAATCAGGGCTCAGCCGGACCCCCGGCCACCTGCCCGGCTGTCCCCCGCGTCCCCACGGGCAGCCCGGAGCCCGCTTTCCCCCCCGGAGCATCGCCGGCACAGGCGGCAGCCCCGCGGGGAAGGCTCGGCGACTCCTCGGAGCGCTGCTCCGGCACTCCGGCCCCTCGCAGCCTGCGCTGAGTTCGCCGAGGAACGCGCACGAGTGTCGCCAGCCCAGCAGCTGCTCCGGGCGGCTGTCACCGGGGGTGGCGACACAAGGCTCGGGGAGGAACCAAGAGTCGCCGGGAGCGCTCCAGCGGCGGGGCCGGGCCGGGGGCGGCACCGCCGGGGGTGCGAGGGGGCGGCCCGAGCTGTCCCTCCCCGCCTGCCCTCCACCCTCGGGGCGGTACCTGCTTGTCCAGCGCGGCATCCTTGGCGCTGCCCGCGGCGCATCCCTTGGGAGCGGGCACCCTCTCGCAGTTGCAGCCCTCCAGCATGTACATGCCGGCGGGGCGGGCGCTCTGCTCGCCCTCGAAGTAGAAGAGCACGTTCTGGTAGAGGGCGAACCACTTCTCGTGCCAGCGGTTGGTCTCCGCCGTCTTCTTGCTGAGGTAGCCGCGCTTGGTGCCCTCCTTGCGGGCCAGCAGCGCCAGGTACAGGGCGTGCCCCTCGTTGTACCGCACGCTCTTCTGCATGGTGCCCGGAGCCCGCGGCCGCGGCGCAGCCTCGCCGGGCGCTCACGGAGCAATTCATGGGCTCCGGCACGCACCGACGGGGCGGCCCCGGCCCCGCG